GGGGGGGGGGGGGGCGGGCGCCCTGTCCTTATTCCCCCCAAACCCACCCCGTTCACCGCCCCCAGATACATCTGCCGCTTGGAAAACAACCCCCCCCCCAAATAACAAAAACCCAACAATTCGGGGAATTCGCACAATTCCTCCCCACTCAATACCGGGCGGTTCGGGGGTGTCCCTTCTGGGGCCCGCCCTTTTTTTTCCCCCCTAGGTGTTCCCCCCGCCCAAATTCCCGTTTTTCCAAGGCTTCCCCCCCACTTTTCCCAGCGTTTTCCCCCCGCTTTTTTCCCAGCGGCGCATCCGGCGGGGAATGGGATGACGGGACCTTCCTGTTCCCGGCCCCGCGCCCGCCTCGCGCCCGGGGGACGCCCCCGCCACGACCCCCCCGCACCCCCGAGCCCGACGGGACCCCCGGAGCCACCCCCGGAGCCCTCCGGAACGCCCCCGGCCCCTCCCGCGCCGCGGAGCCGCCGAGGTGAGTCGGGGGGCGCGGGGGGAGGGAAACGCCGTTTTTTGGGGGGGAGGGGAGGGGAAAGAGAGGAGACACCCCCTCAAAAAATTTGGGAGACCTCTTCCCTCCAATTTGAGGTACCCCGATGTTGGATTTGGGATGGGGGAGGAGATGGCGGAGGGGCGCCGTTGGGGGGCTGGAAATGAGGGAAAAAGGAGAGTGGGAACCCTCCCTGAAAAAACCTGGGAGGACCCCCCCCCCCCAAATTGAAAATTTGGGGGGGGGGGGGGGGATGTGGATGGACGGCGGATTGTGGGGATGGAAAGGGGAGGGAAGAGAGCGGGGACCCCCCTCCCCATCAAAAAAAAAAAAAAAATTTGGGTGATTCCTCCCGTCCCGCTGGGGATACCCAGGGGATAGAGGGGAACGATGGATTGGAGCCGGGGGGGTAGGGCGGTGGAAATGAAGCGCCGTTTGTAAGGTTGGAAAAGATGGAAAAAGGAGAGCGGGGAACACTCCTGCCCCCCCTAAATTTAGGAGATCCCTCCCCGATTGGGGATATCCCCGGTCTTGGATTTGGAAGGGGGAGGAGATGGCAGGGGGGTGACAATGGAAGGGGAGGGGGAAGGTGCCTTTTTTTAGGTTTGGAAAAGAGGGAAAAAGGAGAGTAGGGACGCCCCCCAAAAATTTGGGAGACCCCTCCCGGAGTTGTGGATAACCACCGTCTTGGATTTGGGATGGGAGGGGAGATGGATTTGGGGCTGGGAAGAGGGATCAGGCTCTGGTTTAGGGGGCATAAAGAGGGGGAATGAGAGTGGGGACCCCCTCCAAAAAATTTGGGAGACTCCCCCAAAGAATTTGGGTTACCTCCATGTTAGATTTGAAGGGGGGGACTGTGGATGAACCGTTTTGGAAGGGGGGCAAGAGAATGGGGACCCCTGAAAAAAAACCTGGGAGTCCCCCCCAGTATTCGATTTGGGGTGGGGGGTGAATTTTGGGGAAGGTTCCTGGGGCTCTGTTGTTCTTTAGTGCCCCCTTCCCAAAATTAAAGAGTGGGGGGAGCAAACCTGGGGGTACTGGGAGTAATTTGGGGGCACCCTGGGTGATTTGGGGGGTCCCGGGTCATTCTGGGGGGCACTGGGTGACCCCTCTCCTTTTGTGACCCCCTCCCATCTGCATCTTTCCATCCCCCCCCCCCCCCCCGCCTTTCTGTGGG